TTTGTTTTTTTTTTTTTTGAGACAGAGTCACACTTCATCACCCTGGGTGGAGTGCCATGGCATCATAGCCCACAGCAACCTCAGACTCTTGGGTTTGAACAAATTCTCTTGCCTCAGCCTACTGAGCAGCTGGGACTATAGGTGTGCACCACCACCTAGTTTTTTTGTTTTTGTTTTTGTTTTTTTTTGGTAGAGATAAGATCTCTTACTGTGACCTCGAACTCTTGAGCTCAGGTGACCTACCCACCTCAGCCTCCCAAAGTACTAGGATTATAGGTGTGAACTATCATGCCAGGCCCTACAATACATTATTATTGACTATGGTTACCATGTTGTACAATAGATTTTGAAAATATACCTTCCTTTCTAACAGAAACTATACCCCCCGGTTAGTATTTCCTCATTCTCATCTTCTCCCCAGCCTTTGCTCTCTACTTCTCTAAGTTTGATTTTTTTAGATTCCCTATATAAGAGATCATGTGGTATTTGTCTTTCTGTGCCTGGTTTATTTCACTTAGCGTAATGTCTTCCAGGTTCATCTGTATTATCAGAAATCAGAGAATTTCCTTTAACAAAATTGGAGTTTCATACCAGACAATTTCCTTCTTTTTGATGGCTGAATAGTGTTCCTTTGTGAATACTTATCATATTTTCTTTAGCCATTCATGAATTGATGGGCATTTAAGTTGATTCTTTATTTTAGCTATTGTGAATAATGCTTCAGTGAATATGACATACTGATTTCAATCTTTTAAACAGAGGTAGGGTCTTGCTCTGTGTCCCAGGCTGGAATTCAGTGACATGATAATAGTTCACTGCAGCCTCAAACACCTTGGCTCAAACAATTCTTCTGGCTCAGCCTCCCAAGTGGCTAGGACTACAGGTATACACCCATCTATGTTTGAAGTATTTTGGATATGACAGTGGGCAGGGGAGTTCCCTGTCCTCACAGACCTTAAATTTCCACAAGAAAGATAGACAGTAAACATAATAAGTAATATCCATTAAAAGCTATGAAAAAACAACAGGACATTGAAAAGAGAAAGTGGTAAAAGGTGTAATCAGTCTGTAATTTTAGAGAAGTCAAGGTAGGTCCTCATTGAGAAGTGATGTTTAAGCAAAGACTTGAGGGAGATGTATAAGTTTAGTCTAGAGAATATCTGACATAAGAGCCTTTCAGGGAAAGGGAGTCAATACAAAAAGGCTTCAAGGTTATCGAGTGTTCCTACCACAGTTGAGGACCAGCAGGGAGACCAGTGTGGCTGGAGAGTAGTGAGCAAAGGAAGAGGATTAGTAGACAGATAGGAGGATAGACAGGTAGCAAGGATCCAGACTCTGTATGGCCTTGAAGGTCATTTTTAGGACTTCGGGTTTTATTCTGTAGTGTGATAGGCTAGCGTTGAACAGTTTTCAGCAGAAAAGTGACAAGTGATCTAACTTGTGGTCTCAAAGAATCTGTGGGGCTACTGTGTTGATAATTGGCTATTATCAACTGGAATTACTGATAGCCCAGTTCTTCTAACCCAGTTAAGGAGCAAGGACAGAATCAGAGAGAGAATTTAAGAGGATATTGCAATAATCCAGGCAAAAGAGAATAGTGGTTCTGACTAGAATGAAAGCAGTGGAGATAGTGAGAAATGGTTAAATTCAGGATGTATTGTGAAAGCAGGGCCCACAGGATTTCCTGACAGCTTGGATGTGAATGTATGAGAAAGAGAGGAGTTAAGAATGACTCCAAGGTTATTTGCATGAGCAATTCAGTGAATTAGAGTTGCCCTCAACTGAGACGAGGAACGCAGTAATCTAAGTGGAGTTGATTTAGGAGATGGGCATAGATGAGAAGGTCAATTTTGGACAAGTTAAATTTGAGATGTCACAAACCTCTGTAAACCTGGTCCTGGGATTACTGATAGCCCAGTTCTTCTAACCCAGTTAAGAACCCAAACCAATTTTTCTCACAGTTTTTTTGGCTAACTAATTAATATGCTATGTGTGAAGTTCATTCAACTTCAATAAATGTTTCTTTTCCTTTTATATACTTCATCATTTAAAGGGCAAGGCCACTTAGAAGTAGGAGCTCCACATTTAGCCTCTTCAGTCTTTAGTAGTGATGTATGATGAATTATGACAGAATTATATTTACCTTCTTTACTAGAAAATGAGAAGTAATTGGATTAATGAAGCATAAGGCAAAATATAGGGTAACATTAGGCCAAATGTGATGGGTGAAGGGAAAAAAATTAAAAAGATAAAAACAGAATATCAGCCTACATTTCCAATTGAACACTGAGAAACGGTATTTACACCACTGTTCCTGAGAAGGGACACTAAGAAAGGGGCTTCAAGGAGGGTGGGAGAAAAACCTGGCCTACAGTACCAGGAAGTCTGCAAGACCCCAAGAATGTGGGTATGACCAAGAGAAGGAGACAATCAATGACCATTAGAAAAGGGAAATATTGCCTGGAGGTGCAGAGAGGCCAATGAAAGACTTGCAGCCAATTTTAAATGGAGAGGGTATTTATACCCCTGCAGGTCTTTGTGCCTCTGTCTCTCTCACCTTTTCTCCTCCATGAGAGGGACCCACTTCCAACTCTCTTTGGAAGTGCTCTAAACTTTTCCTAAATAAAATCTCTTTGTTACCCTCAAACTTGTATAGGTTACTTTTGCTTTCTACACTACTACTGTGCTACTCCATTTTTATTTCCGCTTTCCATTTATTTTTGCTTTTGATTACCACCATGCCTTTTTTGAACTTTCTAGCTCACCCCAGTAATAGAACCAGATCAACTGAGTTTAGAGAAATGAGACCCCTGACTCCCAACAGTTCCTATACTTCGGGGTACATTGGAATTATGTGGGTATCTCTTAAGAATACCCTATTTGGCTCCTAATCCCAGATCTGATTTATAGGCATGGAATGAAGAAACTTGGGTATCAATGCAGCAAAGTTTGAGAACTACTATGATGCACTCTTTTTTCCTAATGGAACTGCCACTAAAAGTCACTATTCAAAGTCCCTTCCAAAATTCTTTTCATTCTTTGCTGGTGCAAAAAGAAAATGGAAGCAGCATTGTTAAGGAAAGGCCCTCTCTAAATCATGCAAAGACATCACTGTTAAATTTGTCATAGATTGATGGCTGCTCTTCACCTGGCCGTTTATTCATGGCAAAAATGAACCCTAAATTGGAGGCAACTATGATGTCATGGAGGTTATCTTAAAGTTGGAATAAAGACACTGTTATTCCAATCCCAGTTATTCCACTTAGTAGTAGAATTATGATGGGATACAAATCCCAGTTATTCTACTTACTAGTAGAATTATGATGGGAAATTTATTTAATCTTGCTGAAGTCTCATGTTTTTTCTTCCTATATGAGAATAACCAAATCTGTTTTGTATGGTATTATAAAGATTTTTAAAAGCTAATGTATGTGAGTGATAATTGCTGGTCAAGCTTTGTTTGGTTGTTTATTCATGTAATTATTCAAGTCAACATTGGCTAGTTTAAATTTTTAGAAAAGTCTATGTAAAAACACAAAGTAATGTATGTGAAGGTAAAATATAACTATATGAAGATATTAAAATTTTACTATTTGAAGTAACATTGTACAGTGTAATAATTTCCTAGATATGAGTAGATAATTATTTTTTCTGCATTTTTTCACTGCCTTAAGAATAGGATTCTATATGCTTTAGGTAATAAATGCTACTGAACTTACAGTGTAGTAGAAGTGTTATTTTGTGTTTATTTTCTATAAGTGTAGTCATCTGGGTAAAATATTAGCTTTGTACTCAGCCCTGGGTTTTAACACAAATGTTACCACTGGTTAGCAAATTTGTGTCAGGGGACATGTTCTAAGACTAAAGTTTCTTATCTTTCTATTTTGGAAATAATAATATCCATCTTTTAGGGCTGTTACCGGGGTCACATGTAAGGCCCTAAGCATAGAGGCTGGCGTGGAGCATGCAGGAAATGTTAATTTCTTTTATCTCTCTGAGGATGGTAATCTCAGGATAGTGCAGGTGACCCTTAAACAAAAGAGAGGTTATGGGCACTGTTCCCCAGCGCAGCAGAAAATCCACATATAACTGTTGACTTCCCCAAAACTTAATTAATAGCCTACCGTTGACTAGAAGTCTCGCTGATGAATAGTTAACACATATTTTTTGTTATGTGTATTATATAGTATATTCTTATAATAGAGTAAGCCAGAGAAAAGGAAATGTTATTAAGAAAATCATAAGAAGGAGAAAATATATTTACTGTTTATTAAGTGGAAGTGGATCATCATGAAGATCTTCATCTACCCTCATCTTCTCCAGAGCTGGCAGGTTTGAATCCAGCCCAGGCCTACCAAACAACAATGACAACTACAACTAAAAAATAGCAGTGTGTTGTGGAGGGTGCCTATAGTCCCAGCCACTTGGGGAGGCTGAGGCAAGAGAATCACTTAAGCCCAGGAGTTTGAGGTTGCTGTGAGCTGTGACACCACAGCACTCTACTGAGGGCAACATAGTGAGGCAACTCTGTCTCCAAAAAATCTGAGTAATAATTTTTAAGCAGTTAAAAATTTTTAGGAATCATTTTTGAAATTTCTTTTGCTGGTATCTCTCACTTTAGCTTTTTAAAAAACAATTTTTTAGGGTGGCCCTTGTTGCTCAGTGATTAGGGCACCCACCACATACACCCAGGCTGGCAGGTTCAAACCTGGCCTGGGCCAGCTAAACAACAATGACAACTGCAGCAAAAAAAATAGCCAGGCGTGTGGTAAGCACCTGTAGTCCCAGCTATTTGGGAGGCTGAGGCAGGAGAATCACTTAAGCCCAAGAGTTTGAGGTTGCTGTGAGCTGTGACACCATGGTACTCTATGTCACCGAGGGTGACATAGTGAGACTCTGTCTCAAAAAAAAATTTTTTTTATTGATGCATAACAGATGTATATAGTTTCATTTTAACTTTTGTGTTCCCCCCACAATGTTTATTTTGTGTGCTTTTTCAGATGATAAAAAGAGTCATTTTACCTTTAAGTTTACACCATGGATAGTACAAAAGAGAAGTATGACAATCACAAAGATGACCTTCTGCTTAGGATGGGACTTAATGATAATAAAGCAGGAATGGAAGGATTAGACAAAGAGAAAATTAACAAAATTATAATGGAAGCCACAAAGGTATGTTTCTTGTTTCTTTTAATAGCTATAATTCAGTAACTTTCTGTTTAAAAAATAACAATTGTTTTGAATATCATTTTTATTTAAATACATAATATTATTAAGCTACAAAGGGTAAAGAATAACCTCCTTTCTGTTGTTTTGCTCTTGCCACCCAGCTTTCTACTTCATATGTATATAATGTGCATGTAAAAGCAAAATAATGTACATGTTCTTGTTCACCCATTTTAAAAAAAAAAATGAAAAGAGACATAATCTTTTTTTAATTGGAGCATTGTAAATTAATGCTACATAACATTGCCTTGGATTGACAAATCCAGAAAAATTAGTAGTACATTGTGTTAGCGTGGATTCAGAATGGTAATATATACTCTCATGTATTAATGGTGGAAGCATAAATTGATACAGCCATTATGGAAGGAAATTTGGCAATTCATAAATATCACACATGCATATGTTCTTCTGTGCTATAAGCATTTGGTGGAGTAATTCTGCTTCTACAAATCTCTCCTATAGTTATACTTGCACCTGTATAAAGTTATGAAGTACAAGGTTCATCATGGTAGTATTGTTATAAAAGACTAGAAATGACTCATATGCCCATCAATAAAGATTTTTACTGATTCAATAAATTATATACACACAGAGGCATAAAAAGAATGAAGATCTTTAATTACTTATACAGAAAGACTTCCAAGTCATATTAATTGAAAAATTAAAAAAACCCAAAGAACCAAACAATTACTGTATTGTCCTATTTTTGGTAAAAGAAAAAGGCAGGAGAGTGTTACTATTAAGGCAGAAGGACAGTCTATTCAATAAATAGTGCTGGGACAACTGGATATCCATATCCAAAACAGATGAACTTAAGCCAGCAGGTACAGTGGCACATGCCTGCAGTTTCAGCTGTTCACGAGGCTTAAAGTCAGAAGATTGCTTGAGCCAAGGAGTTGAAGTATGGGCAAAATTGTGAGATCCCCGTCTCTTAAAAAAATAAAAAGTAAACTTAGACCCTCGCATTACACCATACATAAAAAATTAACACAAAATAGACTTAAAGAGCTAAAATAATAAAACTTTGAGAAAAAAACATGAGAAAACCTTTGAGTTAGGCAGAAATTACTTACATAGGATATCAAAAGCACAGTCAATATGACACAGAAGTTCTGATCCTAGGTATATAACCCAAGAGGAATGACAAGCATATGAGGACAGACAGTTAAATTCAGGAACTTGTCCTAGATAAAGTGCCATATACCTCATTGCTGAATATTACTATGGTCACCTATGAAGTACTCCCCTTGGCCATCAATTGGCTAGTGATATTCAGCAATGAGGTATGTAGCACTTTTTCTAGGATGAGTTTGCAAACTTAATTGTCTGACACCATATGTTCACACAAAAACTTGTACACAAATGAGTATTGATAGCAGTTTTCATAATAGCCAAAAAGTAGAAATAACATTACTGTCTATCATTCTGACAAATTAATAGATACTATGTTCAGTGATAAAATGATGGACAGTTTTTTAAAGTATTTTCTACATTTTCTTTAATGACATAACATTAAATTTTAGAAAATACTTTTTAAGGAGTCATTTTTAATGAAAGACATAACTGATGACCCAATCAACTAAGTCCTTCAAGATCTTAACTTATCTCAGAGAGTTTGTACTATGCTAAGTACTGGCTCACAACAATCCTCTGATTTAGGTAACTAGTCAATAAATTCATTTTACTAAGGAAACTGAGGCATTGAAATATTAATTTTGTGGTTACTCAGGTAGTAAGTAGTAGAGCTAACTCTAATGTTTAGTCATTCTCATTCCAGAGTCTTAACAGGTCGTATTACAGTGATGCTTTCCTTCAGACATTTTTCTTATGTTTTGTTCTATTTTCCTTTATAGGGATCTAGATTTTATGTAAATGAGCTCAAAAAGGAAAAGCAAGTCAACCAACGAATTGAAAATATGATTCAACAAAAAGCCAAAATTACCAGCCAGCAGCTATGGAAAGCCCAAGTACAGGTATTAATTCAAATATTAAATAAAGTAGAAGCTGGTTGAGTAATAATTAACAGTCAGATACATTATAGGCCAAATGTGGGGGCATATGCCTGTAATCCCAGCATTTGGGAGGCCAAAATGGGAAGATCCCTTGAGGCCAGGAGTTCAAGACCAGGCCTGAGCAACATATCAAGACCCCCATCTGTACAAGAAATATAAATATTAGCTAGCCCCAGTAGTACCTACCTGTAGACCCAGATACTCAGGAGGCAAAGGCAGAAGAATCTCTTGAGCCTAGGAGTTTGAAGTTACAGCGAGTTTTGATAATGCCACTGTACTGTATCCTGGGCAATAAAGAAACACCTTGTCTCTTAAAAAATGCATTATCAAGTCTTAACTGCAAAGGTAAAATGTACATGGTCATTATATTGTAAAGTGTACACATTCAGCAAATGTACATCCTCTGCTGAATATTGCTGTACTCCTTCACATAAAAGACTGCACACCTAGACATTGTCTCGTCTATTACACAACAGAGTAAGTGAAGTCTTAATCAGATTAAGTGACTTGTCTGCCTTCATAGGACAGGTAGTTGGAAGAGCTAAGATTTAATCCACAGCCTTTGTTCTTTTTATTACATACATACTTTGCAGCTAGAAAAGGGGACAAGATAAATATGGTGTGATTTCTGCAATACTGATTGGGGGGGGGGAATATATATATATTAGAGGGAACATGTTAACTAATTAAATTAGAAAATATCTTAAAACATAATTGTGTGATAGACAAAAGTCACAATATAGATTAGAATGCCAAATGTACATGAATTTTTAAAATTACACATAAGACTTGTAAACACTTGAGACTTTTGGCTTCTCCTCTAGGATCTTTGGGGAGTTAATATTCAGAATTTCCTCTGTTATTAAAAATTATTACAGTAGAAAAAACTGGAGGGTACCATGTGGTAGAGTGATTACTCAAAGCAATCAGATTTCTGCTGGTGAAACTAAAGTCATGGCCAGATAAGTTTACTGTTCATCAAAAGCTGATCTAATATTAACAAAACACTAGGCTATAAGATAGCAATAAATTTATGATAGTTATCTAATATGCTATAAAATTCTTCTTTTGTGATAGAGTTCAAAAATAGTAAGTTTTGGCTAGGCACCTGTGGCTCAAGTGGTAGCTAAGGTGGTGGGTTCGAATCCAGCCCGGGCCCGCCAAACAACAATGACGCTTGCAACCAAAAAATAGCCGGTGGGCGTTGTGGTGGGCACCTGTGGTCCAAGCTACCTGGGAGGCTGAGGCAGGAGACTCGCTTGAGCCCAGGAATTAGAGGTTGCTGTGAGCTGTGATGCCATGGCACTCTACCCAGGGGGACAGCTTGAGGCTCTGTCTCAAAAAAAAATAGTAAGTTTTGTTTTCTTTACCAAAGTATAATATGTCATTTTTTGATATATACTTTCCAGAGCATAAGGTAATTCTTTTTTAACTTGAAAATATTAAGAGGATACAAGCATTTTGTTGCACTGGTAAATAATGTGATGCTAAAGTCAGGGCTTTCAGTGTGTCTATCACCAGAACAGTGTACACCTGATAAATAAGCTTTTATCTCTCACCACCTTCTCACCCTCCCTTTTTCTTGGTTTTCAATGTCTTTATCACCTTTTTGTGCCCATCTGTACCTATCATTTAGCTCCCACTTATTATTGAAAATGTGGTGTTTGTTTTTCCTTTCTTAAAATACATAAGATAATGGTCTCCAGTTCTATCCAAGTTGCTACAAATAACATTATTTCATTCAGTTGTATGCCTGAGTAATATTCCACAGTGTATGTGTGTATGTATGTACGTGTGTGTGTGTACATATATATATTATGGTGTATGTATATATATATATATGCACACATACACAATTATACATATATGCACATATATACATATACACACCATATTTTCTTTATCCACTCATCAGCTGATATAGGTTGTTTTTATATCTTGCAATTGTGCTATGATAAACATTCAATACAGGTGCCTTTTTTATAAAATGACTTATTTTTTTTTTTGGCTAGATACCCAGTAATGGGATTGCTGGATTGAATGATAGGTCTACTTTTATTTCTTTGAGGAATCGCCTGTTTTCCATAGACGATGCACTAATTTGCAGTCCCACCAACAGTGTATAAGCATTCCTTTTTCACTGCATCGGCAGCAGAATCTATTATTTTTTAACTTCTTAAATAGCCATTCTAACAGGATAAGGTGGTATCTCACTGTGGTTTGTTTTTGAATTTGCCTGATAATTAGTGATGTTGAGCTTTTCTTCATGGATTTGTTGGTCATTTGTCTATCATCTTTGAAAAAACTCTGTTCATGACTTTTGTACACTTTTTTGTAGGCTTGTTTGGTTTTTTCCTTACTTGAGTTCATTATAAATTCTGAATATTGGTCTTTTGTGACTTATATAGTTGGCTAATATTTTCTTCTATTCTGTAGATAGTCTGTTTACTCAGATAAGTATTTCCTTTGCTTTTAATGTAATTAAGTCCCATAGATTCATTTTTGTGGTTGTGTTATATGCTTTTGAGGTTGGTCTTAGTAGTCTTTAGAGAAATGCTAAGTCAAGAAAACAAAAAACATTGTTTCTGAAATAGTCTCCTCAGGGTAATAGAAATGGGATTTTTTAAAACGAAATAAGACATAATACCACAACTTGAACTATACCTAAGAAATGCAAACAAGTAACATAATCATTTGTACTCTCATACAATCTGAAATTTACAAAAGGAAAGAAAGTATACCATAGAGTTTTGTTTGAGCATATTTCAATGATAAAGACTTAACAAAATATATTTTAGGTAAACATCATAAGATAATAGAAAACAGGCTTTGGTATAACCTGGTTTTCAGGTCTAGCTGTAACATTTACCAGCTTCATGACTTAGAGCACATTATTGCATCTTATTGAACATTAGCTTCTTTGTCTATAAGATGGGAATAGTAATTATGATCTCAGAATTATTTTGACCAATAAATGAATTAACATAAAAGTGAACATATTATAGAGAGTGGCCATAAAGTTCATGTGCAATTTAAAATAGTGTGCAGTTCAAAATTGCACATGGACTTTATGGCCACCCTGTATGACATATACATGAATATAATATATTCAATAAATGTCATTTCTTCTAAAATTATAGGTACTATCTTTAAGCCCTTGCAGGTTCAAACCCAGCCCTGGCCAAAACTGCAACAAAAAATGGCCAGGCGTTGTGGTGGGTGTCTGTAATCCCAGCTACTTGGGAAGCTGAAGCAAGAGAATCCCCTAAGCCCAGGAGTTGGAGGTTGCTATGAGCTATGATGCCATGGCAGTCTGCTGAGGGCAACAAAGTGAAACTGTCTCTACAAAAAAAAAAAAAAAAAACTATAATACTGAAGTCATAGGTAAATGTCACAGGTATATATTGAGTATTACAATTTTAATACAGTTTTTTCCTTGCTTAAAATGTGCATACTTATTTTGGCACCCTCCAGTATTGAAGTTCATGAAAAATCAATTACAGCTTAAGTTTTCAATTTTTATTTGTACAGAGTAACATTTATCAAATTTTAGCATTATAAAAGTAGTTCTACAAAAGGAATATTTACCTTATACTTTAGTACCTTCAGTTGTATGTTAACTATTCAGCATAAATATCACTAGCCAAAGAGATACAATCTTTTGTTGTACATTTCCTTTGTTGCTATTTTAAGACATTAATATTATGAGTCAAATGGAAGTCATTTATTTTACCTAAATTGAACCTTTGAGTTACTATAAATTGTTCTCCAAATTTATAAAGCAGTGAAGTCATCTGATACAGGCAATGAGATTAGTTCATTGATTCAGTAGATTTTTATTAAGTTTCTGCTTTGTGCCAGGGGGTATGGAAAGATGAAAGAGTTGATAGGGAATGATACCTGAGAATAGGCTATAGCCTGTTTGTCAAAATAAAAGCAATTACCACCCTTAATAAACAATAAGATATACCTAGATAAATATCCATGAACAACCATAAAATATGCAACCGTAGGTGGATGAGTGAATGAAGAATGGATGGATGGATGGATCCATGGATGGACAGACAGAGACAGAGAGTTGTCTAAAATTAAGATTAATGTTGTGATTAATTATGTTTCAGTATTATGTTGTCTAAACATGTGTTAACTTTTTAAAATATTAAGGTTGACAGATTTGCAATGGAATTAGAACAGAGTCGGAATTTGAACAATACCATAGTACATATTGACATGGATGCTTTCTATGCAGCTGTAGAAATGAGGGACAATCCAGAATTGCAGGACAAACCCATTGCTGTAGGATCAGTGAGTATGTTGGTAAGTTGGAAAAAATTAAAAACAAAAATGAAATTTCATAATATATTTAAGTAAGCCTTATTGGTTCATGAAGGAGGAATTCTTTACTGAGGTCCTCAAGTTTGCTGAGTATTTTTCTGGGTTTCTTATATATGCTCACTCAATATTTTGAACATACTTTAAGTTACTAGTTTTTATTTTCATTTGACAAAAATCAAACTCAGAGGAATATTTGATAACTCACCCAAAGTTATAAACCTGGGGTAAATGATAGAATGACATTGTATCTTTCCATTGTAAATTAAATTTTTTGTAGGTAATTGTTCTGGTTGGAAAGAAGTAAAAAAAGGAAATGTTCTAAAGCAGAGGTGATGGGCAGGCCAAAACCAGCCTGCTACCCATTTCTGTAAATAAATTTTATTGGAACAAAGTCACACTAATGTATTTATTACCATTGCTGTACTGAAAGAACAGAGTCAGTAATTGCAACAGAGACCATGTGATTTATAAAGGCTAAAGTGATTACTATCTGGATTTCTATAGAAAAGGTTTGCCAATCCCCAGTTCCAGAGTAATGTAGTTCATTAATATGGTACATTTAGAATGCATTTAAATTATTTTCCCCATGACTTGGAAACTTTGCTTTTTGCTTACTATGTTGCCCTCTTTTTTGCCACTGTAGCCATGAAAGGTAAAAATGACCAGGATAGCTGTGTGTGGTCAAAAATGTATTGGGAATTAAAAGTAGTGACTAGAGAAGATGGATTTTGGTATTAAAAAACATACTAGGCTCGGCGCCTGTGGTTCGAACCCCCAGCCTGGGCCCGCCAAACAACAATGACGGCTGTAAACAACAAAAAAAAAAATGGCCAGACGCTGTGGCGGGCGCCTGTAGTCCCAGCTACTTGGGAGGCTGAGGCAGGAGACTCGCTTGAGCCCAGGAGTTGGAGGTTGCTGTGAGCGTGATGCCATGGCACTCTCCCAGGGGGATAGCTTGAGGCTCCGCCTCAAAAAAAAAAAAAAACATACTAGAGAAACAAGGAGAGGTCTTCCCTGTTCCTAACTCTTCCACTCACTTAGATAACTGTAAACCTAATTCCTACGGAGTTATTATTTTATCATAAAGTTATAATTTGTTCTTTATCTCTGTTTCCATGAGTATGTAGGCAACTGACAACTCTTGTCCCAAAATAATGTTTATTGAAAGGATACCCCCCTTTCCTACAAACTACTAATAAATATTTGAAAAATTAACTTTATTAAGATATAACACTATAAATTTACATATGTATATATGTACATGCACACATACTATAACCATGTTAGAAGTAAACTGCTTGTAAGATCCACAAAATATTTCTTTTCCTACAGTTTCTATTCTCCTAAAAGTTGGTTATTATTTCCAAATTCAAAATGATTGTTATGTTTAAGCTAACATTACCCCTTTTATATGCTAAACTAATACATTTCCCTTATAATGGGATTTAAAGCGTAATTGTTATCCTACTTAAAAAGAGTATAGCTATAAATTAATGACAGTGACGGTACATACATGTTTGATTATTTTAGTCTATTAAAGGTAAGAATTCTTTTGGGGTCAATTTGTTTGGTTTTTCGAATGTTCTAACTTGACACTGGTAGTTGAAACTTAGACCCTGTGGCAGTTATCTATTGCTTTATAACAAACCCCTTCAGTACTTAGTAGACAACCATTTATTTGCTCAGGATTCTATAAGTTGAACAGGATTCAAAGGTGATGGCTCAACTCCACGTATACCTGGGGTTAAGTAGGGCTATTTAACTGAGGCTGGAAGATCCCATAGCTTCACTCACATGTCTGGCACTTTGACTGAGGTGACTAGAATGGCCTTGCCTTCAAACTTTCCAGCCTTGCCTTCAAACTTTCTCCTCTCTATATGATGCACCATCATGCAGTAATCTACCCCAAGACCTTAACAGTGGTTGCTGGGTCACAAAAAGCAAGGTAGAAGCCATTCTTAGGGCCTAAGTTTCAGGAATCACACAGTGTCATTTCCCTCACATTCTTTTCATGAAAGCAAGTCACAACACAAGTCACTTGACAGGAGGAACTAGAACCCACCTTTTGATAAGAATAATTATAAAATATTGTGGTTGTGCTTTATACTCTACCACAAACCCCAAAGCTATAGAATTTCCATCTAAAATTTTGTTTCTACTCTACTGTAGATCTAGTATTCATATCAAGTCCGTTAAACATATTTGTATTGGTTTGTCTTTCTAGTGCCTCTTTATTTTTTGTTCCAAATGGGGACTATGGATTATTCTAGTTTTTTTTTTTTTTT